AACGATCAAAAATTTGTTCTAAGAAATAGACAAATTATATTGATAACTAACGAGCAATGTGCTACAGAAAATAACGTGATTGGGCACACTTTCAAAAAACGTGTACAATCGCATTCAGCATATAAAGCTGCATCTTGGCATACAAAAATGATAAGCGTCGCTCGTACAAGTGCCAGAAAAGCGCGTCATCCAGCGCATTCTCGATACTCAGTCTTATACATTACCCCGAAGCTGCATTCAGCAGGGGGCGAAAGCTAGCGGACCTCTGTCTGCAAGAAATGAGGCGATTGAGTCATAGTACGCACGGACGCATGGAATTCTATCGAGTGCAAAAGTCGTTGTTTTTAAGCAGATGAATTCTAGATTCCTTTAAAGTATATTTCAGCTCGAATGGATACATTTCTTCAAGCTGAAAAACGTCTTTATCATATCTAGGGTCTGGAGACACTCAAATGCGATGACACGATCTCATCCATAACTTTTTGTAACCTTGCACTGTCTGTGAAAAAGCCGGAAGCGTCGCAAACTACGCTAAGTTTCGACCAGGACGCGGCAGAGCCAGAATCGGTGCATGGAGAATGTAACGCGTGAGCCTGTTACATGTAATTAACCTTGATACTTGGTAATGAGTAAATTATTAAAATGGTTGATACTTGTTAATTAAAGAATCACCATAAGAGGTAATATTGAGAAACGCTCACCATTTGGCTGATACGGGCCATCATAACAGCCATCTCTAGCGGTCCAATCAACGATTACGCGCGCAATGAGTGGTTAGCAAGACTTTGGCATACACTATTGAAGATGAATATAACTCAGTTACGAATAAACATAGGTGCATGTAATCAGGAATTAATTGTATTTATTACAGTTTTACTTTTTTTACTCCTATTGAACGCGTCGTTCACTGCTAGCCTTCCTCTGCGCGTACGCTCTGCACGTACTGTGCATGTGACATGACCCGCGAAACTACCTACACTGACAACAGTGTAGGTGCACTATCACTGAAGCAGTACTAGTGACCAGTGCCCCGTTACAGATAACGCTGTCATTTTCGTTATTCACTTACGGCTCTCATAGATTTATCAAGTTCATTGTCTCAACACCAGTCTACAAAATTTTTACGGATGCCGAATAATGGCAGAACAATATTAGCACAGCTCCTGAAATGCTATTGCGATTATAAAGTCATGAGCAATGCGAACTCTGTTGGTGACACCAGTATTGATAACGCGTCACTTCTGTAAAAATTGTTGGTCTGGAGCCGAGATAGTAAGCGTTTAGTCACATGATGCACATGGGGTGGCGCGTATAAATCTACTGGTAAACAATCATCTTCTTGTGAATAATCCACAATCATACCGCGAACACTCTACAAGGACCCAGCATGGACTGTGGGGGCCGATGAACTCTGGTCAGAGAAATTGAGCGTGGCTTTGAAAGATCGTTAACGGTTTCCAAAAACACTAACAAGCATATGTTGTATTCACGCTTCTTAGTGACTTCCGCAAAGTATTCCGGGGATATATCCTGTTCACCAAACCGCCTAAGACCATGGAGCAGCTTAACCCCCCTGCAGGGCTACCAAGTCTAGTAGGAATCGACATTTTCCTGAACCTCCCAATTTCAGACTTGGAGCAAAGTTACAGCTCAGATGATTCTGACGCGGTAGCAAATTTTGTACAGTAAGCTTGGAAGGAGGTGCCCAGTGAAGGGCGGGTAAACGTGGATAGCGTAGGACATTCACGAAGAACGGTGTATGTGTTGTCGACGCATGCACCACGTTGTTGATGGCAAATTCCGCCATCGGCAAGAACTCACTCCAACTCGTATACGAGTGGATTACCTCACACGGACCACTGCAAAAGCAATCGACAAATTCTTTGATGAGGCAGTGGCAACTGCTTTATGACACCGTTATTCGAGCCCGGTTAGAGCTTGACTTGTGTCTAGTGACTTTGTTATTGAGCAACTCGCATAAGACGGATATAGGATAAACGTCCGTAAATTTGATTAGACACTTGTTTAACAAATCTGCCTGAAGCTGCTATCAAGAGTGAGATGTATTGCTTAATCTGATTATTCTCATCGAGTACACTCTCGTTCATTGTAAGCTGCTGAGAACCCTTTCGTTCCCAGAGAATGCCACTGCCGACCGAATTTTGGTCACACACTCTTCCTCTGTGACGAGTACACAGATTCGCTTGACTTTGTCACTACGCCGATATCGCAAGAACCGTTTCGATTCTAGCGTTGACAATTGTGTGACGTCCGAAGTCAACCTCGGAGGTGCGATCAGATCACGTGTATGAGTGCCTACATTTGACCCATCATTTACCAAGACACTCGTTATCTCAGTTTCTTCCTAAGAACCTTTTTCCACAGGCGGTTGGGAACTTATTCCTTCAGGTTGATGAGATCTTCTTACCTCATTCATATCTGCTTTAGGAATTTATTCTACAAGTACGTGGGATATTATTCGCTCGACGTCTTCTGGCTGCGTTTGCGCCACCACAGCTAGGTCCTCTACAATTAACTCCCTAGCCGGTCTATGATCATCGTGTTTCGCAGTGTGGGCAACATATTTATTCTTCATTGGATGTCGCTTGCTAGGCGTACACCCATGCCCCGATCCACTCGTCTTCTTCGAGTGGTGGACCTTCGGCGCTGCTTATACATCCGCAAAACCGACGGTAGCTCCCCCCACAGTGTGATTGGTTGTCACACTGTGATCTTGTGCAGTCGTAGTAACGACCGCACCACAAGTGAGGTAATCGTACTCACTCGCAGTACATCCACACGCTTGTGGACGCTCCAAAACTTTCATCAGATGGCCATCTGATGAACAAGCGGCAGGAATCTTCACGGTTTGATGCTAGCAGCTGACCCTTTGATTCATACTTTCGGAACTAAGGTAAACCTAGGATGACATCAAATTTTTCGTCCAGATCCAGCACGATGAAGTCATCATCGTACTGTTTTCCTTCTAGCGTGCAGTGGATTCTCACCACACGTTTCGTCAAAGTTATCGGTGCGCCTGTTGCTAGGCGCACCGTCATCCTCGTCGGAGGGGAATGTCGCTTAACAAAATTGAGCCTACGATCCTCTAGAGACTGGCGACGAAAAAAGTTGCTCGATGCCCCACAGTCTACTAGAGCACGAGGTGATATAATCTTCTGCTACTTTTTACTTCAAGGTGATGAGGGGTACCTCATTACCAACTGCAGAGGCGTACAGTGATTGTGAGTCGGAAGCAACGTTCATCAAGAGATTTGCAGACTCTCTTCAGATAGCTAGATCAGCAGGGCGGTTTGCTAAGCTGTTGCAATTAAGCAGCAACGTTGGACCTGCGTCCGTTGCCCATTTTGAAAAATGGTCGAACACTTCGCCCAGTGTCTCGAGACACCGGGCGTGGGGCGCTACACTCGTAAACGTAGCGTCCCAGCTTCGGACAGTGATTGTACTTCTGCAATCACTTATTGGCTGAATAGAGAGGTCTCTCGCTCTCAAAATAACAGATGTCCATATGTTCTGGGCTTTCGACTTCTTGTCGTCTTGGGGGACGACTATAACTCGAATTAGCATGAAACCTGTTTCAAGCTAAAGTTTTTCTGTTCCGCGACTGCTATCGCTTCTTCTAACGTACTCAGTTCTCAGCGAAACAGGTAAGTCTTGTTGACACCACCCGCAAGACATTGCATGAGCACAGTGGTCAATGTGTGTTGATGAACTGGGTTGGCCGTGGTGCAACTCGCAGGAAGTCGTATTTTTTATGCGTAAGTGCGCACATCAAGCTTCCCTGCTTAGATTTTAGGAGCTCTGATCGAGCTCTGAAGTTAGCCCTTGGCGGTTCAAACGTTTGCTTGAGCCGAGTCTTGAAGACTTCCAACGACCCAAACACATTTGGTTCGTGAAACTTGAGCCGTGATGCACAGGTTTTGGCACATCCATCTAGGTTTTACTAAGCAAATGCGACTTGCACTTGCTCATCGACGATGTGGCAAGCCCTTATGGCGTCGTCCAACTCGACGAACAATATCAAAAGAGAGTCTTCCATGATTCCTCTGTGCTTTGAAATGTCTATCTCCAAAGTTTTAAGTCGACGCGAGTGCATCGCCCTGGTAACAGCAATTTGTATCTGCTGTTGTCCCAACAGTTAGACATGTTGAACACCCTTTTCTCTCAACAGCTCTGCCTGTTGAGAACCTTGCTGGTAAAGCAAGGTTACAATCTTCCGTTACTCATCAAGTTCATGTCTGCTAAACTTGGCGACGGCGGCATGCTACCCATCTCTGTCCAGTGCGGAAAGAATGGAAGGGACGGCATGTTCACCTATGGTCGAACCCATTCGTTCGACTGCACTTCATTCAATGTTTTTCGAATACGAGCTTTCATGCGTGGCGTGAAAGCTGTCACCATCGTTGTAACGGGGCACCCTGAAGCTTATACTGATGACAGTACAAGCTACTTATTCTGACGATCGAATAATGCGGTGCCTCGGAACTTCACGTACACTGGTACGTGCAGAGGAAGACGGTAAGGAGAAGCCAGTACTTGGTTAAAGTAAAAAGTAGAACTGTATTTAGCATAGTTAATGTCTTTTAATAAACCACTGTTTATCCTCATCTAACTATGTCTAAATACAAATATGTAAATCAACTATCTGCTCACCACCCATTGCGTGCGTCTGTCGTGGCGCGTCTTCGTTGGTTGATATGATGGCCTATATCAACCAATTAGGAACTACTCGTAAGTGCTACAGAATATTTCGTCCTTATGACAATATTCTGAGAATATGACTCTTATAGTTATATTCTATTAACAATTTCCAATAAATTGTTATGTAACGATTCACCCCGTTAAATCACCCCCCCTTAACCATCAGTCACTTTAGTGACTGATTGACTGAATGGATACTCGTCCCAAATGATTTGGGACGGGGTTTGCACTTGTTGGTCCAAGTCCACTTTCCAACATATCATCGCATGGTTGACAAGCCCATGCGATGCGCGAGCAAGGCCGCTGAGAGCGCGTTCGCACGTCTCTGTGCGGACGCCGAAGCAGAAACCACAGCAACTGATGTCTCATCGGTTGATGAAGCGACGCAGCCTGTGTCACCTGGTGATACAGGCGCTCGTCATGAAGACACTCATGTCTTCACAGAGTATGAGCTCGGTGTCTAATACTCTCCTGATACGTAAGACGGATCCGTATCGTCGGCGATCGAATCCAAGCCGCCTGCCAAGCATGGCATGGATGATTCTATGCGTCGTAGCATCTTTGGTTCATCCGATGAATCAGATGAACCATCGCCGAAGCGAAGGCGCTCGAGGTCGCGAGACTCGGGCGCTAACAGTGGTTTTGGTTCTCATATTGACACCACGTCGCAACGAGGTGCCAGTCCTTCTGTCGGCACGTCGAAGGAAGAGCGGGACCGCAGTGTCTTGCGTATCGCTCCCGAAAAGAAAGCATGGCTGCCTCCAAAGTCAGTCATGGATCGCTTGTCGGTGACGACGAGTGATCGTCATCGAACAATGTTGTTCGATTCGTCAAGGATCCATCACCTTGACCCCAGCGCGAAAAACTATCGCGCTGAGAATGATTTCTTCATCGATGCTTTCTTTAGACATCGATGGTGCAGTGGGAATCACAAACGTGATGGTCCCTCACTACTTCAAGCGTGGAACGCTTACATCCATAACCTTGAGGATGTAGGTCGTGACGTTTGGAACGACAAACTTATCAAAGCTCGTGATAAGTTTGAGAAGAGAACCCCTACAGGTGCACGCTACAAGCTGCATCGTCTGTCAAGGGAGAAGGGATTACCCTGCCTCTCTTGGGGAGACTCGTGCCCATGTTGTGTGAACAACTCTGCACGAGCACCTAAGGAGGCTTACCTCCTTACTAGCCCGTGGTGGCGCGTACGTATCTCTACTAAGATGTACGAAGGGATTGACAACCTGAAATCCCTTTATGACCGTGCCGGGGAGACTTTCTCCGGCGATCCTTCTGCGGCACAGGATGTGCCGCGTCGTACTGCTCAACCAGACCCAGTACGTCAACCATCTGTTGGGAGCGGGGCTCCCAAGCATCCCAGGACGGGGGAAAACCGCGCCACCGGACGAGGTAACTCGTCCGACGTCCGTTCACATCGCGGTGGTTCAACAGCCGCTCAATCAGATAGCGCTCGCCACCGCGAGAGTCCTCTAATGGAGGTGGAGGAGGAGGAGGGAAAACGCTCTCCACACAATCGTGGGGATCCTTGTGTTCCCGAGAGCTTCTTTGGTCGCGTAACGCAAGGGTTACGCAACGATCTCGAACATGAGCGGGACAGGCGTCTCCAAATGGCGGACGCTGTCTCGAAGCATCGAGCTGAGTTTGCTTTTGCTCAGCTTGAGAACGAGAGAGCTCTGACATCTCTTCGTGACGAGCTAAGGGTAACTCGTGGGATTGTTGATCGGTCTCGGGATGAGATAACGGCTATTCAGACCCTTGTCGATGCCCACCATCGGAAGCACAAGGGCGTTCTTTATCGGAAGAAGCGGCGTACTGATGGTACGGCTTAAGCCGACCAACGTAAAACGTGGGATGCGTTCGCATCTTACGTGGCAACTCGATCTTGTATGCATTGCCTAAGCGGTGCAATACACGAAATGGGCCGATGTACTTGGGTAGAAGTTTACTGCTACCCAAGTTAGTCACTACGTGCTTTGGAGGATTAACCGTAGACAGTAGGACTAAGTCACCTTTATTAAATAAAAGAGTGTTTGCCCTTCCATTCTTGTCAGCGTTTTGCTTTTGCTTATCCACCTGCTTCGGCGATGGAGTCTTGCACAAAACGGACTACCGTTTCACGAGCCAGTATGAATTCATCTGATGACTCGTTAGCTTCAGTGCGCTGTGAGTGCACTGCAGCAACATCAATCGTTCTTCAGTGAGGACTTCCGCGCTCTCACTGGCATCATCTTCTTCGATATCGATGTTATCGATATCGGCATCAAACGCAATGACCTCTTCGTCAGAGCGTGATGAGCGTGAACCAAATCGGTTTTTGCTTGCGCGAGTCCCTCCCCCCTTAAACCAGAGTTACACTCTAGTAAGGTGGGTACACGCGGATGGAGCAAGCCATTCACGTAAAACGGTGTATGTGTCGTGGACGCATGCACCGAGTTGTTAATGGCAAACTCTACCATTGGCAAAAACTCACTCCAACTCTTAAAGGAGTGTACGTATCCTCGAAGTATCTCTTCAAGGACACGATTGGCACGTTCCATCTGACCATCTGACTCTGGATGATCAGATGTCGACATCTTCAAGCGCGTTCCGAGTGATTTGAACACGGAACGCCAGAAATCAGCTTTGAATCGTGGATCTCTGTCTGATACGAGTTCACGGGGCAACCCATGAAGTCGGAAGATGGTGTCAATAAAGACACAAGCACAGCCACTTGCCGTGATTGACTCTGGTACAGCCACTAGGTGTACCATTTTGCTGAATCTGTCAACAAATACGAGAATACCCGTATTCCCGCGTGCGTCTTTGGGTAACCCGAAGACGAAATCCATTGAGATGGATTCCCAGCACTCAGCCGGAACCGGTAGAGGCTGTAAAGGTGCACGCAGTGAAGGACTTGACTTCACTCGTTGACAGACTTCGCATGCGCGAACATACTTTCGCACAAACTGATACTGGCGGGGCCAGTAAAAGTCTCGACTCACCGCGAGATATGTTTTCTCCCGGCCACGATGTCCTCCTATAGGAGTATCGTGATACTTGAACATGATCCGCAACGCATATCAGTATCATCTGGAACGACAACACGTGGTGTCTCACCAGAAACGGCTGTATAATACAGTAAACCGTTGCGAGTAGTGTATCAATCTGATGCAGATCGATACGCAGACGACAATCGTTTCAACGATTCTCGAGATGGCTGTGAGAGATGTGTCAACAGCTTTCACAATCTCACCATCTTGGGCGTATGCCCGCCTCACATCATCATACAACGTTGTAGATGGGACTGAGGACGTCATAACCGCAACAGTGGCTGTCTCACTCTTGGGTTTCACGACTGGTTCAAAGTCGGGACGACGTGAGAGTGCATCAGCAACGACATTAAGTCGTCCTGGTTTGTAATCTACCGTAAAGTTGTATTCTGCAAAGAATGACAACCACCGCGCCATTCGTTGTGAAAGGTGCGGGCTGTTCACTGCCGTGCTTAATGACGCATGGTCAGTGTAAACAATGAAGGGTCTATCTCCTAATACATAGACTCTGAACTTCGCGAGTGCATACTTCATGGCAAGGAGTTCCTTGTCATGCACTGGATAGTTCCGCTCAGCTGGTTGCAGCTGACGCGACTGATAGCAGACGACGCGTTCAACGCCTTCAAGATCGTACTGCATTAATGCACAGCCGATTGCGAAATCGCTGGCATCACAGACCACATGAAATGGCCTGTCCTGATCGGCTATTGCTAGGACTGGGGATTGTATCAAGCTCTGCTTGATACCATCAAAGGAGCGCTGACATTCAGCGTTCCATAACCACCTCTCGTTCTTTTTCAACAAACGAGAGAGGTGTACAGTCATCTCGGCGTAATTGCGTGAATACTTGTGCAAACACGCCGCTAGCCCAAGGAATTTTCGAAGACCTTTGACATCAACTGGCACAGGCCAGTCGGTGATCACCTTGATCTTTTCGAGATCAGGAGGTACTCCGTTCTTACCAACGATGCACCCAAGAAGTGGTATTTCGTTTGCTCCAAATATACACTTCTTGAGGTTTGCATACAATTGATGCTTTCGCATGATTGTAAGAACCTGTCGGACGTGGTACCTGTGAACCTCAACGTCCGACTTTCCATCCATAGCCCGAATATGGATGAATACGTCATCGAAATAACTCGGTGCGAATTCCCGTACTGGTCTCAACAGATGTGATACACATCTGTTGAACGTGGCAGGGGCATTACTAAGCCCTAGTGGCATTACTAGCCATTCCCAGAGCATGCCGCTATGCGTGCTCACTGCGGTATAGGGTATATCCCGTTCTCGCATAAGGATTTGATAGAAGCCATCCATCAAATCCATGGACGAAAAGATGGTACTCTTCGACATACCATCAATGATTACGTCCTTCCTCGGTATCGGCGTCTGAGCCGGTACCGTTGCAGCATTCAACTTGTTATATGCATGCACTATCCGCCACCCTCCTGTTGCTTTTCGCACACAGAAGGTCGGAGAGCTATGTGGGGAAGTTGATTCCCTCAAATGGCCCGCAGCCAAACGATCGGCAAAGAACTTGTCGATAGCAAGTACTTGTTCACGAGGCAGTGGCCACTGCTTCATGAAACAGTACTTCGAGCCTGGTTTAAGCTCGACCTCGTGTCGAGTACCTTTATCCTTCGGTAATTCGCACGGAACAGTTTCAGGGAATACATCCTCGAATTCAACCAAATCTTCATAGAGAGGATTTGTCTTGAGCGATTCCCACGATTGGGAGTCATATCGCTCAATTCGTGTCTTTTCATCGAGGACGCTCTCGTCCATCGATGAACTACTGAGAACTCTCTCGTTCTCACTAAACATTGTTGCTGATCTTATGTCGGTTACACACTCATCGTCAGCGACGAGTACGCAGATCTGCTTGACTTTGCCACTACGCAGATCACGCAAGAACATTTTATGTTCGAGCGTTGGCAACTGAGTGATCTCCGAAGTCAACTTCGGAGGCGCAATCAGATCAAGTGTATAAGCGCCTACACTTGATCCGTTATTGACTAGGACATTCAATGTCTCTGTCATTTCCTGGGGACTTATTCCCTCAGGCCTCGAAGGACTTACTCCTTCGGCTTCCCGGGGACTTATTCCCGCGGGTTTCGGGGATTTATTTCCGCCGTATTTGTAATATCGGGACTTATCCCCTTAACTTCCTCTAGCTGGGGTTGCGCAACCACAGCGAGATCCTCTACGAAAGACTATCCAGTCGATCTAGGATTATCGTTTCGCTTAACCTGAGCGATCGATCGTTTCTCTTCTAGATGTTCCCCGCTAGGGATACATCTTTGTCCCGGTCCACTCGACTTATTCGAGTGGTGGACCTTCGGCGCAGCCTGTATTTCCTCACAGCCGCCGGAATCTTGCTCCAAAGTGTAACCGTTTGGTACACTAAGGTTTTGTGCAGTCGTACTAACGACCGTACCACAAGTGAGGACATCGCACTCACTCGTAGTACATCCACACGCTTGTGGACGCTCCAAAACGTTCATCAGATGGTCATCTGATGAACAAGCGGCAGGCATCGTTACTGTTCGATGTTGCCAGTTTACCCGTGGTTCGTACCTTCTGAACCGCGGTATTCCAAGGATGACATCAAATTTGTCATCAAAATCCAATACGATAAAGTCATCGTCGTATTGGGTATCTTCTAGCGTATAGTGAATCTTCACTATACGCTTCATGACGGTTACGGATGCGCCTGTCGCAAGACGTACCGTCATCCTCGTAGGAGGTGTGTCACATTCACTGAACTTAAAGTGACCATCTTCTAGCGATTGGCGTTGCACAAAATTGGTGGACGCCCCACAATTGACTAGAGCTCGAAGGGACAACTTATTCGTCACTTCGAGTTTCAAGGTAATGAGTGAGACCTCATTACCTAGAGCAGCAACGCACAATGTTTGTGTGTTGGGAGCAACCTTCATCAAGAGGCCTACAAATTCTCTTGACGTTGCTGGACCAGTAGGGAGCTCCGCACCTACTGATCCTGTCCGTTTTTTGACGGTCCATCCCGTTGTTGCGTCTTTGCACCAGCAGCGGACCCACGTCCCCGCCCCTTTCTCATGGGTGGACGGTCACTACGCCCAGTGTTGCGAGACACTGGACGAGGGGCACTACACTCGTAAGCGTAGTGTCCTGTATTTTGACATCTGTTGCATTTCTGCAACTTCTTGTAGTCTGTAGAGAGAGCCTTCTCGCTCTCTACATAACAGAGTTCCATCGGCTCTGGACCTCCGTTGTCCTATCGTCTCGGTTGACGATATGATGTCGAACTGGCGCGAGCCTGTCTCAGACTGAAGTCTTCCTGCTCCGCAATGGAAATGGCTTGTTCTAGTGAATCTAGTTCAAGCCGGAACACGTGAGTCTTGACGGGACCATCCGCAAGACCCTGCATGAACACCGAAACCAACGTGTGTTCATCCACCGGGTTGGAACTTATACAACTCGTGAGATGTCGTATATGTTGTACGTAAGCGTGCACATCACGCTTACCTTGCTTGAGCTTCAAGAGTTCAGTTCGAGCTCTGAACTCAGCTCTAGGCGGTTCAAACGTTTGTCTGAGCCGCGACTTGAAGACTTCCAACGACCCAAACGCATATGGGTCGTGCAACTTGAGTCCCAAAGCCCAAGTCTTGGCACGTCCTGCCAGATTTGACTGGGCAAATGCAACTTGCATTTCCCCATCGTCGATGCGACGCGCCCTTATGGCGACATCAAATTCGACGAACCATCTCAAGAGGGAGTCCTCTTTGACTCCCCTATACTTGGAGATGTCAATCTTCAAGGTTTCGGGTCGACGCGAGTGCATCGACCCACCAGCAGCAGCCTGCTGCTGTCTCAACAGTTCAAACTGTTGAGCACCCTGTTCTCTCAACAACTCTGATTGTTGAGAACCTTGTTGGTGAAGCAAGGCTACTTTCTCGCGTTCAGCGTCAAGTTCATTTTGAATGAACTTGGCGATAGTAGCATGTTGGGCATCTCTATTGAGAGCCTCTAGCATGACGCTAACAGCATGGATGCCCATGGTTGAACCCATCCGTTCAACCGCATCCCATTCGACATCGCTCAAATGGGAGTAGCCGTCACGCGTAGCGTGAAAGCTTTGGTCATCATCATCATCTAACAAATTCATGTTAGATGTGAACGTGGTCCTTGGACGGACTACGAAGTGCTACCAGGTGTAACGGGGCACCCTGAAGCTTGTACTGGTGACAGTACAAGCTACTTATTCTGATGACAGAATAAGGCGGTGCCTCGGAACTTCACGTACACTCGTACGTGCAGAGGAAGACGGTAAGAAAAAGCGAGTACTTGGTTAAAGTAAAAAGTAGAACTGTATTTATAATAGTTAATGTCTTTTAATAAACCACTGTTTATCCTCATCTAACTATGTCTAAATACAAATATGTAAATCAACTATCTGCTCACCACCCATTGCGTGCGTCTGTCGTGGCGCGTCTTCGTTGGTTGATATAATGGCCTACATCAACCAATTAGGAACTACTCGTAAGTGCTACAGAATATTTGTCCTTATGACAATATTCCGAGAATATAACTCTTCTAGTTGTATTCTATTAACAATTTCTTATAAATTGTTATGTAACGGTTCACCCCGTTACACCCATCATCCGACATGTTAGTGTTGGATGTAGAAGTTGCGGTCCTTGGACGGACCACAAAGTGCTACCAGGAGTAACGGGGCACTGGTCACTAGTACTGCTTCAGTACTTGTGTCCCTGCACCGTTTTCAGTCTAGGTAGCACCGCGAGTCAAGTCACGTACACTGTACGTGCAGAGGAAGACTAGCTAGTAAACGACGCGTGTAATAGGAGTAAAAAATGTAAAACTGTAATAAATATAATTAAGTTTTATTCACATACACCTATGTTTACTCGTAACTTAGTTGTATTTATCTTCAATAGTGTATGCCGAAGTCTTGCTCACCACTCATCGCGCGCGTCCATCGTTGATTGGACCGCTAGAGATGGCTGTTATGATGGCCCGTATCAGCCAAATGGTGAGCGTTTCTCAATATTACCTCTTATGGTAATTCTTTAATTAACAAGTATCAACCATTTTAATAATTTACTCATTACCAAGTATCAAGGTTAATTACATGGAACAGACTCACGCGTTACACCTACCATCAGTTTTTGTGCCTCGCCCCCTTCCAAGTCCTTTCACATAAAAAATTACCGCGCGAGGGGCCTGCACACGAGTTTTCCCCGCACAGTTCGGGTTCGAGCCAGGAACGATTCCCGTGTTGAGATTTACGTACCATGACATGAATCGTGTGTCGTGTTTATGGCAGTTTGCAGGGACAGGGCTCTTCGAACAATCTGGATTAGCGATCACTTTATGAATGGATTTATATATGCATTTTAGCAGTAGTCTTAACTCTTAAAACTACTTTCCATTTTGAGCACTGAGAAGTCGTTGTCTGGTTGTTATACTCCGCTGAAGGTGGGTGGCCTTTCGAGGTGAGGAGGGGGGGGCGTCTTTGTGGCTACTGCGGATTGAGGAATGGAAATATAAAGATATGGTAGGATTTCACGTGGTACACTTTAATTCCGTCACGAAGCGGTACTGATGAATGCAACTAGTGCGGGTTTTGGAATGTTTGCATCTGGATGGTGCTGGATTTGCGATTTACTCTAGCAATGCTTTACTTCATCCAACCGATTTGGTCGCAACAGAAGAAAGAAAATTCTTTATGAGTTATTGTCGAGTATATTCAGCCATTAGTATCGTAACGACGTCACTTTAGGTGTGCCTGGAGTGACACCGCGAACGGTCGTTGCGTTGATTCGCATGACATCTTCTTAGCAAGTATCGCCCCTTTGCGATGGCAAGGAAATGCGCTTAACTCGGTGGCATGATGTTGTCCAAACACAACGACAAACGTTCGCTTGTTTTGGGGTCCGGTGTCGTGCTGAGAGAAATTCGTCTTAAGCGACAGCGAGTACCTTTCCCACACCGTATAAGCACCCGCATACGATGCGAAGCTGATTCGATCAGACGGGCGACTTTTAAAGAGCGTGTGAGTGCATCCAATCCTTCCGTACATGCATGGAAAGATACCAGACCAGATTGCTTGGATGAGCTGAAGTACAAACTCGTTGCATGGACTCGAACCAAGACAACGCGTTAATTTTGACGTGGGCTTCGACAGGCTACACGCCAGCACCGTGCTTCGGTCTGCAGTGCCACGTATATTATGCAAGCGAGGTGAGACCAACCAAAGACAGGTGGTTTTATCTGACTTTCATCATTCCTCGTTGAGAGCGGTAAAAACGTTTGAGGAGCGAATTGTATTCAACTGTTTTGCAAGAAACCGGATGAGTGTGTATAAAAGTGACAGTCGAGCGTCGAAGAATATTCGATAGGTGGAAACTCTTTTGTCCGAGCGCGTAAATCAACCGGATGGTCATAAATCTTTTATTTGTCCGGGCGTCACAACCAGAATAGAGAGAATATGCGCATGAAACCTGTGGCCTTTATGTGGGCGGTATGCTTGCTTACGTCGGTACTATTGGTTGCTGGACTCACCGTGCACGCTGAACAAGAGCAAGACCACGACCTGTGTCAGCTGCGTGAGAATGGCTGTCGATTCGAGCCACATGAGTCGGGATTCATCACCCTTCCGAATCGCGTAGATGCCCACTACTTCTATTGGTACTTTGAGTCGCGCAACGCATCGAGCTTGGACCCGTTGATCATATGGATCCCGGGCGGTCCAGGTGGAGGTGGCGCTTACGGGTTGCTTGTCGAAAATGGTCCATGCACCCTGAACAGCGACCGCTCAACGACGTTCAACCCTTACTCATGGACAGCTAGTGCCAACATGGTGTGGTTGGACGCCCCTGTCAATGGTGGTTTCTCGTACTCGACTGTCGGAGAAGATGACGAACTGACTGAAGACCGCGTGGCTGAAAGTGTGTTTGAATTCTTGCAGGAATTTCTCAAGAAGCACGTGAAACAGCAAGGACGACAAGTTTACCTTGTCGGGGAGAGCTTCGGTGGACGTTTCGCGTTATCGGCAGCACACTATATTTTAAAACAGCAAACCCGGCACTTGTTTGCCCCTGCCTCTCGTGCGTCCATCCCTATAAACCTCGGTGGAGTTGCCATTGGTAACGGACTCATTAATCCAGTCGAAGCCGCCACGCACTTTGCCGACATGGCGGCCAATCGGTACAAGATCAAACTCGTGGATGACACCCAGCTAGAGTCGATGCAGACGTCAGTCGGTCAGTGTCGAGATCTACTCGAAAAATGCCGGAAAGACACGTTTGCTTGTGAAGAAGCGGGGGCGGTTTGTTACCTCACCCAGCTGTCGCGGCTTCTTGAAGCCCACCGAAACCCATACGACATTCGACAAGAGTTCGAAACTTCAGCTTCGGACTCGGGCGCTTGCTTGCTTCGAGTGCCTGATGTGAAATGGTACTTGGACCTGCCAGTGGTCCGAAAGCACCTTGGGGTTCAGGACATTCGCAGTGAATGGATTCCACTCAATTTAACCATCAACGACGCCTTCTTTGGAGAGCCAAGCTACGCAGCGTTCCGGTCCATGGATAAAGAGGTTTCGCAACTGTTGGAGGCAGGACTGCGTGTGTTGATGTATGCTGGCGACGCTGATTTGTATTGCAACAGCTACGGAATCGAGGCAACTGCAACGAATCTGCGTTGGTCCGGTGCTGCGGGTTTTAACAACACAAATTCCCGTCGGTACACTATCGCTTCACCTACGGCGCATGTTGGAACCGTGCGCTCGTTCTCGCACCTGACGTACGTGAAAGTCTACAACGCGGGTCACATGGTTCCGGCTGACCAACCTGAGGTGGCACTTGACATGATCACCAGATTCGTTCGAAATGAGGCATTTTGATCCTGACGGAGGCGCCGGAGAAGTGTAAGAAAGAATCCTGTTATGCCACTGTTTACGTCTTGATGCAAATATATTCGCCATGCTTCTTGACTTCCCACTTCGTCACTTAGAGTGCCAAACAGTAGAGCTCCTACCTGGACCATGCATGACCACTTGGTGTTCTACCAAAACTGGTATCGTTGTCTTGGCAATCAGTCTAATGCTTCTTTATTTTTTGCTTTTGGGATTGTCAAGTGAGCTCTGTATCCCATTTCCAGTACATTTTCCATTGTTTGGGGGGTTAAAGTGGACCTGCGAGGTTTTCTGGATGTAGGCTTTTTATGAAAAAATATAGTGAAGTGAAATAAGGGTCAACAAAAATGCCCATTAAATAGGGAAGTGAAAGAAGGGACAATAAAAATGTCCTAGATAAATATAAATCAAAATAGGGAACTGACTTGGTGGTGGACAGCCCCTACTTGCTACGTGAAACTCCCCTAGATTGAAGATATGATAATCATCTCAGAATACTGGTGCCCCTACAACACGAACACACTATAGATAAAGATGTAATAATTCTGCTACAAAGTCGGTGCCTCTAATTACAACACGAGCGCCCCTTTATTAAAAATATTAAAAGCATCTTACAACGCCAGTGCCCAGTGAAATCATCATAAATTAGGGAGATTACTGCAGTGCAATACAGGACGTTGGACGCTCCTCCACTCCTCTTCCCACACTATTACACCTCACGTTCTATGTATAAAAATTGTTGACATCAGGAAGGGGATTACGCCAAATTAAAACGAGATCACAAGTTTCAGTTGTATCCCAGAGACACTCACGGCTAAAACTGCGTGGCAACTATAGTTGGTAGGGAAAGGCAAAAGGTAGCTAGTGATGAAAGGTGAATAAGAGATCGAATTGCGCGCTGCACATTAGCTTATGATGTAGTACTGGCTATTCAACTTTACGTTTGATCTACTGTAAATAACTTTCTCTGTACACACCACATAGATGCCTTAGTGACCGCCAACCGACACTGTCACCAAGTATTTGTAGTGTGCTGAAAATGCAAGTATCTCGCACGGTCGTTTACACGATTATGCAACGCAGCATTTGAGATTGAAGTTGTCAAAGTGCATTGTAGAATGCGCACAGGGAGATGAAAGTTGATAGAGCAGCTTTGTCAACCACCAATTACTTTTGCTCTACTCTGTACCTAAGGACGCTATAGCAGCTTGCCATAACAAAGTGGCGAAAGGTCTACGACAGTATTAATGAAAGAGAAGATGCATGGTGAAGCAGTTGGTATCTGCATCCGTGTAAAGTTTCCATCAATACATCGTACCGATATCTGACGTTGGTAAGGTCGACGGTGCAGATGTCAAAGGTCGCCGGTGCAGATGTCAAACCTGCGATAAACGAACAACAACACTGTTGTCACAAATGCGCCTCGGCATGCGTATTCGCACAAGAACCTGTAGCTCAAGTGGTTTGGTGTGGCAGCACCATGCGAGAGGTCACTGGTTCGATATCCAGTGACTGCAACAAAAAGTTGAAACCTTCGGGTACTGGTGTGCCGGGGTTCACCAGCACTGTCCTGCCAGACAGTGACGTCCCCCATCTTAGTAAGTTACGGTGTTTGTTAGAAACACACTATCTGAGTTAGAAACGTACGACGAGACGATTAGTAATGTACGACTAGACGATTACTAACGTAGAGTCAGAAAGAATTCAGTAGGCTTAGAGTAGCAACAGGAGGTTGTAAACTAAGGACCTAAATATATTCACTGTGCATTTTGCAAAACTTCGATCACTTCTTTAGGTTATGAGCCCAAGCTTCGCAGACTCTGACAAAGACCTCGATCACGCCTTCGCCATGGACTCGTCTCTGTTTACCGCCGCTCGCATTAACAAGTTCTCCGGAACAAACTTCCATGTGTGGAAGTTCAAGATGCAAATGGTGCTGGAGGAGCGAGACCTGTGGGACGTCGTGAGCGGCGAGGTCAAGATCGAGCACTGTACAAGTACTTTGGACCAAGCGACGTTCAAGCGAAAGTCGCGAAAGGCGCTAGCGATAATCTGTCTTGCGATGGAGGATTCGCAGTTGCCACTGGTTCGCTCGGCGAAGGACGCGTATGATGCATGGTCAAGTCTGGAAGGACACTACGAGAAGAAAAGCTTGGCTAATAAGCTCTTCCTTCGTCGCCGGTTCTTCACGACAATGATGGGAGAAGGTGATGACGTGCTGGAGCACATCAACAGACTCAAGACTCTGGCGGAGCAATTGGACGCAGTCGGTGCTCCGGTCAGTGAAGATGATTTGATCATCACGCTTCTGGCCAGCCTTAGCGAGTCGTACCAGTTCCTGATAACAGCATTGGAGTCGAGAGCCGACTCTCTGTCGTGGGAACTAGTGACGTCTCGGCTATTGCATGAAGACATGAAGCGCAAGGAGCAAGGTGGCGGAATCGAAGGAGCCGCGCACGGTCAAGCTCAAGCATTCATGTCAAGAGACAACAAGCGCAAGGCTCGACCGGCTAAGAAGACCGGTGCGTGCCACAATTGTGGAAAGCAAGGACATTGGATTGCCGAATGCCCCTCGCGCATCCATGAAGACGCTGATCGACACAGGTACCAGCGTGCAAACATCGCGCAAGAACCGGAGCTTGGCGATTACCTGTTCTCGGTTGGTGGTGGCAAGACCAAGTCGAGTTACATGTGGCTGGTCGATTCAGGGGCGACGCAGCACATGACAAGTTCGAAAGAGTTCATGAGGAACTACAAGGACTTTGGACCAGTAGATGTGCATCTTGATGATGATGGAGTTGTGCAAGCGATTGGAAAGGGTGACATTGTCATGCCAATGAGGACTCGTCAAGGGGTCAAGAATGGTGTGCTCACAAATGTGTGGCATACCCAGAGTTATCTCGAAACTTATTTTCCGTTGGAAGATTCATCAAGGACGTGGGGCCTGTCACCTTTGAAGTCGATGGTTGCTTCGCGGAAACGAAGGGTTTCAAGTGGAAACTAGGCGCTCTAGAAGGAAAGGGATTGTTCAAGCTTTGTATGACACCGGTGTTTCCTGACGAGGTCAATGTGGCGAGTCCAATAAACTTCAAAGGAGACAACACTTCCTACCTCTGGCACCTTCGACTTGGCCACATTGGCCATGGTGGTCTAGACGCCATCGTCAAGAAAGATTACGGCAGTGGAATCGGCATGAAGTCTGTGCAGAAGTGGGAGTTTTGTAAAGGATGCGCACTTGGCAAACAAACACGTGTGAGCTATATGCCCAAGTCACCCGACCGAGCACGTATGTTGCTGGAGGTCATTCACAGCGATGTGTGTGGCCCCATGAAAACTCCTACCTTCAGTGGAAAACGATACTTTGTGACTTTCATTGACGAATACTCGCACTACTGTGTGGTGTATCTGCTTCAAAACAAGTCTGAAGTAGCGACCAAGTTCGCTCAATTTGTTGCGTTGGCGGAAACCCAAACTGGCAAACGTGTGAAGACTCTTCGAAGCGATAATGGTTGTGAGTACACTTCCAGAACGATGTCCAAGTTCTGTGCGGACCATGGTATCATGCAGAAATTCACGCCGCCTTACACTCCTCAATTGAACGGTGTCGCCGAGCGAATGAATCGGACATTAGTGGAAAGCGCTCGTTGCATGATGGAACATGCTGAGTTATCCAAGTCGTATTGGGGTGAGGCAGTCATGACTGCGAACTGCCTACGTCTTCGCTGTCCAAGTCGTTCAACAAGTCACGACAAGTCACCCTACGAAGTATGGAGTGGTAAGAAACCTATACTTGCAAACCTGAAGGTGTTCGGTTGTCATGCATACGTGCATGTGCCCAAGCCAAAGCGGTTCAAGCTCGATGCAAGATCGATTCAGTGTCGGTTCATTGGATACTCCGACCATGAAAAAGCGTACCGTTTCGAGGAGATCAAGAGTCGTCGTGTACTGGTCAGTCGCGACGCACAGTTCATGGAGAATGTTTTCGACAGTGGGAGACGTGACTATGTGCAAGATGGAGCCGTCGTCGAAGAAGAAGCTTTTATGGAAGATGAGGATGTACCTATGGAGGACTACTCCTCTCATGACACCAGCAACATGAATTTTGAAGAGGCTACAATGGATGGCGTTGATGAACCCGGCGTTAAGAGACACCAACGCACACAGTCGCTCGAGGCCTTGGCCAACGCTCCTGATGCGAAACGTCGAGCTCGATACCTTACCATGGCCGAGATGTCTGCGACTGCTGATACCAGTCACTCTGTTGAGACTGCCTACGTCGTGGATTCAGTGGGAGATTTACCAAGGACATTCAAGTCAGCAATGGAATCCAGCGACGCAGTCAAGTGGAAAGAGGCTTGTGACTCCGAAATAAATTCCCTTCGTCAAAATGAGACCTGGAATCTCGTGCCGCTTCCACAGGGACGCAAGGCAATTGGTAATCGATGGGTATTTCGGGTAAAGGAGACCAGGGATGGAAGAATCGAGCGGTTCAAAGCGCGTTTGGTAGCCAAAGGTTTCTTACAGAAACATGGCATTGACTATGACGAGACCTTCGCTCCTGTGGCCAAGTTCACATCCATCCGAGTTTTACTCAGCTTAGCGGTGAAGTACTCGTTCATGATTCACCAGATGGATGTCAAGACAGCATATCTAAATGGACATCTTGAGGAAGATATTTACATGGCGCAGCCGGATGGATACGTTGATGAAGATCATCCGGACTTTGTTTGCCAGCTAAAGCGCTCTCTATATGGTCTGAAGCAGTCCCCACGGATGTGGAACCAGACCATTGACAAGTTTATGCTGGACTTGGATTTTAAGAAGTGCAAGACCGACCATTGAATTTATTTCAAGCGAGATCAAGAAGACTTGATTTTTGTAGCGCTGTACGTTGACGATTTGGTCCTCGTAAGCAACAACGCCGAACTGATTAGAGCTACAAAGGATGCGCTAAGTGAGCGGTTTGACATGACGGATCTTGGCGACCTCAAGTACTTCCTAGGAGTGGAAGTTAACCAAGATCGTTCAGCTGGTACGATTTCGATTTGTCAGTCCAAATTTGCAAAGGACATCCTTGAGAAATTTGGCATGGATAACAGCAATCCTGTCAGAACTCCACAAGAACCAGGACTCAAGCTGACAAAGTCAATGTGCGTGGATGGGTGCAAGCATGACGAAACGATGGCAAATGTGCCATTTCGCAACGCAGTCGGCTGCTTGATGTACCTTATGGTGGGTACACGCCCAGACCTTGCAGCTGCAGTGGGAGTGCTTAGCCAGTTCTCGGCAGACCCTTGTCCGACCCATTGGCAAGCTCTTAAGCGGGTGTTACGTTACATCCAAGGCACAAGGGAATATGGAATCGCGTATCAAGCAACAAACAAAGACAAACTGCACAGCTACTCGGATGCAGACTGGGCCGGAGACGTGGAAGCTCGACGAAGCACAAGCGGGTACACGTTCATATTGAACAACGGGTGTGTAAGCTGGAGAAGTAAGAAACAGAGCACTGTGGCTCTTTCATCTACGGAAGCGGAGTACATGGCTTTGACGGAAGCTGCACAAGAAGAAATTTGGCTGAAGGCACTATTATGTGAGCTCGACGAGATGAGGAGCGATGAAGCTGTCAAGATTTACGAAGACAATCAAGGTTCCATCGCTTTGGCCAAAAATCCCGAATTTCACAAGCGCACAAAACACATTGACATTCGGTATCACTTTGTACGCGAAAAAGTGGCTGAAGGAACATTGGTGTTGGAATACTGCTCGACCAAGGACATGAAGGCCGACCTGATGACGAAGCCAATTCCTGCAGTACAGTTTCAACATCTACGGAACATGCTGGGTGTCAAGGTGCTAACTTCTGCCGAGGCGAGTGGGAGTGTTGTCACAAATGCGCCTCGGCATGCGTATTTGCACAAGAACCTGTAGCTCAAGTGGTTTGGTGTGGCAGCACCATGCGAGAGGTCACTGGTTCGATATCCAGTGACTGCAACAAAAAGTTAAAACCTTCGGGTACTGGTGTGCCGGGGTTCACCAGCACTGTCCTGCCAGACAGTGACGTCCCCCATCTTAGTAAGTTACGGTGTTTGTTAGAAACACACTATCTGAGTTAGAAACGTACGACGAGACGATTAGTAATGTACGACTAGACGATTACTAACGTAGAGTCAGAAAGAATTCAGTAGGCTTAGAGTAGCAACAGGAGGTTGTAAACTAAGGACCTAAATATATTCACTGTGCATTTTGCAAAACTTCGATCACTTCTTCAAACACTACATCGTACACAAATACTTACGTGGAATCAACAAGTTAAAGACTGGACGAGCCGGCGCTGTCTCTGTGGATTACAAGTATTATCGCAATGTTCATAAGGTGCGATGAGTCACATTCTAAGTTTCAGGGGGATATCAGCCTAGTAAGATTTTTATAATATCTTTAATCCAGGGGGTGTCCACCAAGCAAGCAGGAGGTGTCTACCTAGTCTGTAACGGGGCACCCTGAAGCTTGTACTAATGATAGACAAGCTTCTTATTCTGACGACAGAATAAGGCGGTGCCTCGGAACTTCACGTACACTCGTACGTGCAGAGGAAGACGGTAAGAAGAAGCGAGTACTTGGTTAGAGTAAAAAGTAGAACTGTATTTAGTATAGTTAATGTCTGCAATAAATCACTATTTGTCCTCATCTAACTATGTCGGAATACAAATGTGTAAATCAACTATCTGCTCACCACTCATAGCGTGCGTCTGTCGTGGCGCGTCTTCGTTGGTTGATATAATGGCCTATATCAACCAATTAGGAACTACTCGTAAGTGCTGCAGAATATTTGTCCTTATGACAATATTCTGAGAATATGACTCTTATAGTTATATTCTATTACCAATTTCTTATAAATTGTTATGCAACGATTCACCCCGTTACATCACCCCCCCCTTAACCATCAGTCACTTTAGTGACTGATTGACTAAATAGATACTCGTCCCAAATCATTTGGGACGGGGTTTGCACTTGTTGGTCCAAGTCCACTTTCCAACATATCATCGCATGGTAAACAAGCCCATGCGGTGCGCGAACAAGGCAGCTGAGAGCGCGTTTGCACGTCTCTGTGCAGACGCCGAAGCAGAAACCCCAGCAACTGATGTGTCATCGGTTGCTAAAGCGTCTCAGCCTGTGTCACCTGGTGCTGCAGACGCTCGTCATGAAGACACTCATGTCTTCACAGAGTATGAGCTCGGGTCTCATACTCTCCTGATACGGAAGACGGTTCCGTATCGAAGGCGGTTGAAACCAAGCCGCCTGCCAAGCGTGGCATGGATGATGCTACGCGTCGTAGCATCTTTGGTCCATCTGACGAGTCAGATGAACCATCGCCAAAGCGAAGGCGCTCGAGGTCGCGAGACTCGGGCGCTAACAGTGGTTTTGGTTCTCCTATTGACAATACTTCGCAGCGAGGTACCAGTACTTCTGTCGGCACGTCGCAAGAAGAGAGGGACCGCAACGTGTTGCGTCTCGCTCCCGAAAAGAAGGCATGGCTGCCTCCAAAGTCAGTCATGGATCGCTTGTCGGCGACGACAACTGATCGCTATCGAACACGGTTGTTCGATTCGTCAAGGATCCATTACCTTGACCCCAGCGCGAAAGACTATCGCACTGAGAATGATTTCTTCATCGATGCTTTCTTTAAGCATCGTTGGTACAGTGGGAATCACAAACGTGATGGTCCCTCACTGCTTCAAGCGTGGAACGCTTACATCCATAACCTTAAGGATGTAGGTCGTGACGTTTGGAACGACAAACTTATCAAAGCTCGTGATAAGTTTGAGAAGAGAACCCCTACAGGTGCACGCTATAAGCTGCATCGTATGTCTATGAAGGGTAGGCAACCCTGTCTCTACTGGGGAGACTCGTGCCCATGTTGTGTAAACAACTCTGCACGCGCACCTAAGGAGGCTTACCTCCTTACTAGCCCGTGGTGGCGCGTACGTATCTCTAGTGAGATGTACGAAGGGATTGACAAATTGAAATCCCTTTATGACCGTACCGGGAAGACTTTCTCCGGCGGTCCTTCTGCGGCACAGGATGTGCCGCGTCGTACTGCTCAACCAGACCCAGTACGTCAATCATCAGTTGGGAGCGGGGCTCCCAAGTATCCCAGGACGGGGGATAGCCGCGCCACCGGACGAGGTAACTCGTCCGACGTCCGTTCACATCGCGGTGGTTCAACAGCCGCTCAATCAGATAGCGCTCGCCACCGCGAGAGTCCTCCATTGTAGGTGGAGGAGGAGGAGGGAAAACGCTCTCCACACAATCGTGGGGATCCGTGTGTTCCCGAGAGCTTCTTTGGTCGCGTAACGCAAAGGGTTACGCAACGATCTCGAACATGAGCGGGACAGGCGTCTCCAAATGGCGGACACTGTCTTGAAGCATCGAGCTGAGTTTGCTTTTGCTCAGCTTGAGAACGAGAGAGCTCTGACATCGCTTCGTGACGAGCTAAGGGTAGCTCGTGGGATTTTTGGTCGGTCTCGGGTTGAGATAACTGCTCTTCAGACCCTTGTTGGTGCCCACCATCGGGAGCACAAGGCTCTCTGCGAGATGCTTGAGCGCAAGGGCGTTCTTCATCGGAAGAAGCAGCGTACTGATGGTACGGCTTAAGCCGACCAACGTAAAACGTGGGATGCGTTCGCATCTTACGTGGTAACTCTATCGTGTATGCATTGCCTAGGCGGTGCAATACACGAAATAGGCCAATGTACTTGGGTAGTAGTTTACTGCTACCCAAGTTAGTCACTACATGCTTTGGTAGATTAACCGTAGACAGTAGGACTAAGTCACCTTTATTAAATAAAAGAGTGTTTGCCCTTCCATTCTTGTCAGCGTTTTGCTTTTGCTTATCCACCGGTTAGGCGATGGAGTATTGCACAAAACGAACTACCGTTTCACGAGCCAGTATGAACTCATCTGATGACTCGTTAGCTTCAGTGCGCTGTGCGTGCACTGTAGCAACATCAATCTTTTCTTCAGTGAGGGCTTCCGCACTCTCACTGGCATCATCTTCTTCGATATCGATGTCATCGATATCGGCATCAAACGCAATGACCTCTTCGTCAGAGCGTGATGAGCGTGAACCAAATCGGTTTTTGCTCGCGCGAGTCCCTCCCCCCCTTAAACCAGAGTTACACTCTAGTAAGGTGGGTACACGCGGATGGCGCAAGCCATTCACGTAAAACGGTGTATGTGTCGTGGACGCATGCACCGAGCTGTTAATGGCAAACTCTACCATTGGCAAAAACTCACTCCAACTCTTAAAGGAGTGTACGTATCCTCGAAGTATCTCTTCTAGGACACGATTGGCACGTTCCGTCTGACCATCTGACTCTGGATGATCAGATGTCGACATCTTCAAGCGCGTTCCGAGTGATTTGAACACGGAACACCAGAAATCAGCAGTGAAGCGTGGATCTCTGTCTGATACGAGTTCACGGGGCAACCCACGAATTCGGAAGATGGTGTCAATAAAGACACAAGCACAGCCACTTGCTGTGATTGACTCTGGTACAGCCACAAGGTGTACCATTTTGCTGAATCTGTCAACAAATACGAGAATACCCGTATTCCCGCGTGCGTCTTTAGGTAACCCGAACACGAAATCCATTGAGATGGATTCCCAGCACTCAGCCGGAACCGGTAGAGGCTGTAAAGGTGCACGCAGTGAAGGACTTGACTTCACTCGTTGACAGACTTCGCATGCGCGAACATACTTTCGCACAAACTGATACTGGCGGGGCCAGTAAAAGTCTCGACTTACCGTGAGATATGTCTTCTCACGGCCACGATGTCCTCCTATAGGAGCATCGTGATACTCGAACATGATCCGCAAACGCAGATCAGTATCATCCGGGATGACAACACGTGGTGTCTCACCAGAAACGGCTGTATAATACAGTAAACCGTTGCGAGTAGTGTATCGATCTGATGCAGATAGATACGCAGACGAAAATCGTTTTAACTATTCTCGAGATGGTTTCGAGAGATGTGTCAACAACTTTCACAATCTCACCATCTTGGGCATACGCCCGCCTCACATCATCATACAACGTTGTAGATGGGACTGAGGACGTCATAACCGCAACAGTGGCTGTCTCACTGTTGGGTTTCACGACTGGTTCAAAGTCGGGCCGACGTGAGAGTGCATCAGCGACGACATTAAGTCGTCCTGGTTTGTACTCGACCGTAAAGTTGTATTCCGCAAAGAATGACAACCACTGCACCATTCGTTGTGAAAGGTGCGAGCTGTTTACTGCCGTGCGTAACGACGCATGGTCAGTGTAAACAAAGAAGGGTATATCTCCTAATAGATAGACTCTGAACTTCGCGAGTGCATACTTCATGGCAAGGAGTTCCTTGTCATGCACTGGATAGTTCCGCTCAGCTGGTTGCAGCTGACGCGACTGATAGCAGACGACGCGTTCAACGCCTTCAAGATCGTACTGCATTTATGCACAGCCGATTGCGAAATCGCTGGCATCACAGACCACATGAAATGACCTGTCCTGATCGGCAATTGCTAGGACTGGGGATTGTATCAAGCTCTGCTTGATACCATCAAAGGAGCGCTGACATTCAGCGTTCCATAACCACCTCTCGTTCTTTTTCAACAAACGAGAGAGGTGTACAGTCATCTCGGCGTAATTGCGTGAATACTTATGCAAATACGCCGCTAGCCCAAGGAATTTTCGAAGACCTTTGACATCGACCGGCACAGGCCAGTCGGTGATCGCCTTGATCTTTTCGAGATCAGGAGGTACTCCGTTCTTACCAACGATGCACCCAAGAAGTGGTATTTCGCTTGCTGCAAATATACACTTCTTGAGGTTTGCATACAATTGATACTTTCGCATGATTTTAAGAACCTGTCGGACGTGGTATCTGTAAACCTCAACGTCCGACTTTCCATCCATAGCCCGACTATGGATGAATACGTCATCGAAATAACTCGGTGCGAAGTCTCGCACTGGTCTCAACAGATGTGATACACATCTGTTGAACGTGGCAGGGGCATTACTAAGCCCTTGTGGCATTACTAGCCATTCTCGAAGCATGCCGCTAGGCGTGCTAACTGCGGTATAGGGTATATCCCGTTCTCGCATAAGGATTTGATAGAAGCCATCCATCAAATCCATGGACGAAAAGATGGTACTCTTCGACATACCATCAATGATTACGTCCTTCCTCGGTATCGGCGTCTGAGCCGGTACCGTTGCAGCATTCAACTTGTTAAATGCATGCACTATCCGCCACCCTCCTGTTGCTTTTCGCACACAGAAGGTCGGAGAGCTATGTGGGGAAGTTGATTCCCTCAAATGGCCCGCAGCTAAACGATCGGCAAAGAACTTGTCGATAGCAAGTACTTGTTCACGAGGCAGTGGCCACTGCTTCATGACACAGTACTTCGAGCCTCGTTTAAGCTCGACCTCGTGTCGAATACCTTTATCCTTCGGTAATTCGCACGGAACAGTTTCAGGGAATACATCCTTGAATTCAACCAAATCTTCATAGAGAGGATTTGTCTTGAGCGATTCCCACGATTGGGAGTCATATCGCTCAATTCGTGTCTTTTCATCGAGGACACTCTCGTCCATAGATGAACTACTGAGAACTCTCTCGTTCTCACTAAACACTGTTGCTGACCTTATGTTGGCTACACACTCGTCTTCAGCGATGAGTACGCAGATCTGCTTGACTTTGCGACTATACAGATCACGCAAGAACCTTTTATGTTCGAGCGTTGGTAACTGAGTGATCTCCGAAGTCAACTTCGGAGGCGCAATCAGATCAAGTGTGTAAGCGCCTACACTTGATCCATCATTGACTATGACATTCAATGTCTCTGTCATTTCCTGGGGACTTATTCCCTCAGGCCTCGAAGGACTTATTCCTTCGGCTTCCCAGGGGACTTATTCCCACGGGTTTCGGGGAATTTATTTCCGCCGTATTTGTAATATCGGGACTTATCCCCTTTACTTCCTCTAGCTGGGGTTGCGCAACCACAGCGATATCCTCTACGAAAGACTATCCAGTCGATCTAGGATTATCGTTTCGCTTAACCTGAGCGATCGATCGTTTCTCTTCTAGATGTTCCCCGCTAGGGATACATCTTTGTCCCGGTCCACTCGACTTATTCGAGTGGTGGACCTTCGGCGCAGCCTGTATTTCCTCACAGCCGCCGGAATCTTGCTCCAAAGTGTAACCGTTTGTTACACTAAGGTTTTGTGCAGTCGTACTAACGACCGTACCACAAGTGAGGACATCGCACTCACTCGTAGTACATCCACACGCTTGTGGACGCTTCAAAACGTTCATCAGATGGCCATCTGATGAACAAGCGGCTGGCATCGTTACTGTTCGATGTTGCCAGTTTACCCGTGGTTCGTACCTTCTGAGCCGCGGTATTCCAAGGATGACATCAAATTTGTCATCAAAATCCAATATTGGGTATCTTCTAGCGTATAGTGGATCTTCACTCTACGCTTCATGACGGTTACGGATGCGCCTGTCGCAAGACGTACCGTCATCCTCGTAGGAGGTGTGTCACATTCACTGAACTTAAAGTGACCATCTTCTAGCGATTGGCGTTGCACAAAATTGGTGGACGCCCCACAATTGACTAGAGCTCGAAGGGACAACTTATTTGTCACTTCGAGTTTCAAGGTAATGAGTGATATCTCATTACCTAGAGCAGCAACGCACAATGTTTGTGTGTTGGGAGCAACCTTCATCAAGAGGCCTACAAATTCTCTTGACGTTTCTGGACCAGTAGGGAGCTCCGCACCTACTGATCCTGTCCGTTTTTTGACGGTCCATCCCGTTGTTGCGTCTTTGCACCAGCAGCGGACCCACGTCCCCGCCCCTTTCTCATGGGTGGACGGTCACTACGCCCAGTGTTGCGAGACACTGGACGAGGGGCACTACACTCGTAAGCGTAGTGTCCTGTCTTTTGACATCTGTTGCATTTCTGCAACTTCTTGTAGTCTGTAGAGCGAGCCTTCTCGCTCTCTACATAACAGAGTTCCATCGACTCTGGACCTCCGTTGTCCTATCGTCTCGGTTGACGATATGACGTCGAACTGGTGCGAGCCTGTCTCAGACTGAAGCCTTCCTGTTCTACAATGGAAATTGCTTGTGCTAGTGAATCTAGTTCAAGTCGGAACAGGTGAGTCTTGACGGGACCATCCGCAAGACCCTTCATGACCACCGAAACCAACGTGTGTTCATCAACCGGGTTGGAATTTATACAACTCGTGAGATGTCGTATATGTTGGGCGTAAGCGTGCACGTCACGCTTACCCTGTTTGAGCTTCAAGAGTTCGGTTCGAGCTCTGAACTCAGCTCTAGGCGGTTCAAACGTTTGTCTATGCCGCGACTAGAAACCTTCCAACGATATACGCATATGGGTCGTGCAACTTGAGCCCCAAAGCACAAGTCTTGGCACGTCCTGCTAGATTTGATTGGGAGAATGCAACTTGCATTTCCCCGTCGTCGATGTGACGCGCCCATATGGCGTCGTCTAATTCGACGAACCATCTCAAGAGGGAGTCCTCTTCGACTCCCCTCTACTTTGAGATGTCAATCTTCAAGGTCTCGGGTCGACGCGA